GTCTCCTCCAACTTCAAGATGACCCCAAAGATAATTAAGGGACTGGAGGCTAAAACATCTAAAGAACGGTTGGTGGAATTGGGTAGGTCTAGTTTAATGAAAAGAAGGACTCGAGGGGGACATGATAGCAGCCTTCCAATATCTCAGGGGTTGCCACAAAGAAGAAGCGGGGTCAAGCTATTCTCCAAAGCACCAGAAGAACGTGAAACAATGGATGGAAACTCATCAAAGAGAGAAGCAACCTGGAACTAAGGAGAAATGTACTGACAGTGAGAACAATTAATCAGTGAACCAATTCCCTCCAAAAGTTGTGAATATCCCAACACTGGAAGATTTTAAGAAGAGACTGGACAGCCATTTGTCTGAAATGGTATAGGATTGATCCTAACCAGCTCAAGGTTGACTCAGCCTTCCATCCTTCCAAGGTTGGTAAAATGAGGAGCCAGGATGTTGGGAGCAATAGGCTGACTCTGTAACCCTCTTAGAGAGGTTGTAAAGCACCATGAAGTGGTATATTAGTGCAATTCCTTCCTTCCTTCCTTCCATCTATCCATCCATCCATCCATCCATCTTCTCATTGCTCCTTATCACCCATCCCCTCCCACTTGTGACTGTATGACTGTAACTTTGTTGCTTCCATCCTTACGATTCATACTGACTGTTTCCTGGTATTATTTGATTGCTTATTGTACCCTATAACTTTACTAAGTGTTGTACCTGATGATTCTTGACTCTTGAGGAATGTATCTTTTCTTTTATGTGCACTAAGAGCATTTGCACCAAAGACAAATTCCTTGTGTGTCCAATCACACTTGGCCAATAAAGAATACTACCTTCCTTCCTTCCTTCCTTCCTTCCTTCCTTCCTTCCTTCCTTCCTTCCTCTCTTATTCTCTTTCTTCATCTCCTTTCTGATGGCACAGTGGTTAGAATGTAGTGCTCAGGGTTAACTCAGCCTTCCGTCCTTCCGAGGTGGATAAAATGAGGACCCCGATTGTTGGGGGCAAGAGGCTGACTCTGTAAAACCGCTTAGAGAGGGGCTGTAAAATGCTATGAAGTAGTATATAAGTCTAAGTGCTGTTGCCATAAATCTCTCACTGAAAGACAGGCTGAGCAAAGAGGGCCATTATATAAGGATATAACTTTATCCTTATTATTAAAGGCACATCTATGGAGGACCATGCCTCAACAACGGATTTTCCAGGAGAAAATATTTCCGTGATCAGGGAAAACACCAGAGAAGATTTCCCTGAAGACCTACATTCAAGAATTCAGATTGCATGCAGTCTTCTCTTCCAGTAGATGGCAACTTTGGACAACTGCAAATCAAGCTTTTTATGAAGAACTGACACATCACAATCAAAAGAGACAAGAGCATTTTTGTCATCTTTTTCAATAACGTTATGCAGGGTTGCCTATAGCTTCTCATCTAATTACCCTATACCATTTGTCTAAAATGGTATAGGGTTCCTGCCTGAGCAGGGGGTTGGACCAGAAGATCTCTAAGATCCCTTGGAACTGTGTTGTTCTTTTCTTATTCTTTTCTTATTGTGTGCTTTTATTTTATTGTATTCTATTGTATTCTATTGTATTCTTTTCTTATTCTATTTTTTATTCTATTCTAATGGGATTAAATGTATTCCATTCTATTCTGTTCCATATTCTATTCTATTCCATTCCATTCTATTTCACATTCTATTCTATTTCACATTCTATTCTATTCTATTCTGTTCTATTCTATTCTATTCTATTCTATTCATTCCATTCCATTCTATTGTTCTGCAAGCTGATTTTTGTTTTTTCAATGTTAATGGACGGACAGTGCGAGATTAGAACTGCAAACTGGGCTCAAGTCTGTTTTTTTCCTAAACTTTCCTTTCACCAAAGAACTGGATAGCATACATCATCATTTTTAAAAGCATGAGTGATTTTCACCATTATTAATTGGCCATCAATTTACATGACGAATTACAGAAGGGGTAAAAGTAGTTCAGGCAACAGTAACTGAATTTATTGTTTATTCTAAAAGGCTGAAATTATCATAATTTGCTTACAAGATAGTAAGATATAATGCAATCCCACATGCATTGTCAGGTTAACATCAAAAGTCAGTTACATGGGAAACATGAGAAAATAACAACCTTCTATCTAAATTCTTTCTTTCATTCCTTTTTTTCTTTGTTTCTTTCTTCTCTTTCTTTCTTTCTTGCCTTCCTTCCTTTCTTTTTTCCTTCCTTCCTTCCTTCCTTCCTTCCTTCCTTCCTTCCTTCCAACACCATAAGATTTTGACAAGCATGTCACATTGCATCGCATTCAGGGTCAAAAGCACAGAGGCACATCACCGTTGCCTAGGGAACACCCATTTGGGGGGAATCCTTTCATGTCTCCAGCAGGAGCTGGAGCAAAGGATGGGAGCTCACCCTGACCCACCCAGCACTCGGGTCTCGAACACGGGCTTGCTAACCTCCTGTCCAGGGTTCCAGCCACTTGAGCCACCATGCTTTCTTTCTTTCTTTCTTTCTTTCTTTCTTTCTTTCTTTCTTTCTTTCTTTTTCTTTCCTTTTCTTTCTTTCTTTCTTTTTCTTTCTTTCTTGCCTTCCTTCCTTCCCTTTTCTTTGTTTACTTCCCTTTCTTTTTTCCCTTCCCTTTTTTTCTTTTTCTTTCTTTCTTCCTTTTTCTTCCTTCCCTTTTCTTTCTTTCCTTCCCTTTCTTTTTTCCTCCTTCCTTCCTTCCCTTTCTTTCCTTTCCTCTTTCTTTCTTTTTGATTTTTTTCTTTCTCTTTCTCTTTTCTTTCCTTCCCTTTTCTTTCTTTCCTTTCCTCTCTCTTTCTTTTTGTTTTTCTTTCTCTTTCTTCTTTCCTTTCTTCTTTTCCTTCATTCATTCCTTCCTCTTTTTTTCCTTCCCTCTTTCTTTCTTTTCCTTCCTACCTTTCCTTTTCTTTCTTTCCTTTCCTCTTTCTTTCTTTATTTTTCTTTCTTTCTCCCACTCCCTCTCTCTCTCTCTGTGTCTCTCTCTTTTCCTTCCTTCCTTCCTTCCTTCCTTCCTTCCTTCCTTCCTTCCTTCCTTCCTTCCACAAGTATTTATGTTAAAAATCCTGGTTTTTTTTTTTTAAGGCTGGGCCCCACTGTATATTGTTCACCATGATTTACAATGACCCATGCACTGGTCTCACCATTTGGTTTTGCAGCCATTCCATCAAAATCTCGGCCGTCGAATCGGGGACCTGGCACCTCAGTCCTTCTTTCTCGTCTATTTCCATCATCTCCAACAAACCCCGGAGGTCTTCCACCAGGTGCAGAACCCGCAAACTTCCCATGAACGGAGACGTCGGGGACTGGCAATCAAACAAGCCATTGGAGTATTCCAGTGCTTTGGACCCTGGAGGGCGAGGGTGAGAATGAGAAGGTTAAACCTGCAGATTGAATCACATCAAATTATCCAGGGAGTCCTCAACGTACAGCCACAACTGAGCCCAGAATTGATGTGGCTTCAGTGAGAAATGTGTTAAGGGAGTTTTGCTCCATGGTTACGATCAGATCAGATAATCAGAGTTGGAAGGGACCTTGTAGGTCATCTAGCCCAACCCCCAACCAAGCAGGAGACCCTATACCATTTCTGACAAATGGGAGTCCAATCTCTTCTTGAAAGTCTCAAGTGATGAAGCTCCCACAACTTCCGAGGGCAACTTCTGTTCCATTGCTTGATTGTTCTCACTCTCAGAAAGTTTCTCCTTATTTCTTGGTTGAATCTCTCCTTGTTCAGTTTCCTTCCACTGTTCCTTGTCTGGCCTTTGGATTCCTTGGAAAATAGCTTGACCCTTCCTCCTCTCTGGGGCAGCCCCTCAAATATTGGAAGGTTGCTATCCTGTCTCCCTGATCCTTCTCTTCCCTGGACTAGCCAGGCCCAGTTCCTGCAACTGTTCATCGTATGTTTTAGTCTCCAGTCCCCTCATCATCATGGTTGCTCTTCTCTGTACTTTTTCTAAAGTCTCCACGTCTCTTTTATCAGAGGTGGCCTTCAGCAGGTTCTGACCAGTTCTGGAGAACCAATAGTGGAAGTTTTGAGTAGTTCAGAGAACCAGCAAATCCCACCTCTGACTGGAGATTTTACAGTATCCTTCCCCTGCCATGCCCACCAAGCCATGCCCACAGAACTGGTAGTAAAAAAAAATTGAATCCCACCACTGTATAAATCCTTCCATTCCCCACCATCCAGCCAGAACTGAAGAAGCTTCTGGGATGAGAAGCAAAATATCTTCAAAGAAAAACTAGAAAGTCCAGTTCCCTCTTGAAATAAAAGCACCTCTGGGACAACTGAAGACACAGACAAACCTCCAAGTGGCCTCAATGACTCTCTAAAAAGGATGCAAATGACCAGCTCTCTGCAAGGAGTGGAAATTCAGTGGTGGTCTTCAGCTGGTTCGGACCAGTTCTGGAGAACCAGTAGCGGAAATTTTGAGTAGTTCGGAGAACCGGCAAATATACCACCTCTGACTAGAGACTTTACAGTACTCTTCCCCTGCCACACCCACCAAGTCATACCCACAGAACTGGTAGTAAAAAAATTTGAATCCCACCACTGTCTTTTATAGTGTGGTGACCAAAACTGGATGCAGTACTCTAGGTGTGGTCTTACTAAGGCTTTACAGAGGGGTATTAGTGCCTCACTTGATCTTGATTGTATCCCTCTGTTAATGCAACTTAGGATTGCACTGGCTTTTTTGGCTGCTGCTGCACACTGCTGGCTCCTATTTAGCTGGTTATCCCAATTGCTGGGTGGGCGTGGCCTACCAGAACTTCTGGGAGGGGCTGTTCTTCCCCCCTCCCAGAGCCTCTGCGCAGACCCTGCACTTACCTGCATCGAAAATGGGCCTCATGGAGACTTAAGTCACTTTATTCCATTGTAACGTCAAACAGTCACTAAACGGACTGTTGTAAGTCAATCCCTAAACCTGGAGAGTCTCCAAATTCAGTAACTTTAAACAGTTGGGGACTTCAACTCCAGAATATCCCACAGCAATGAGGTGGCTGGCTGAAAATTTCTAAGAAATGAAGTCCCCAAAGTCTTAAAAGTTGCCAGGGTTGGAGAAACTTTGCCCTCAACTACAAGGTTTCTCCTCCAGGGATGAAATGCAGAGATAAGGAAGAATGTGACGGATGATCTACCTGCAATAATGCCATCCATCTGTTCCAAAGCTGCAGCCAGCATCTCACTTGCATCTCCCATCATGGTCATCCTTCTGTAGGGTAGCCACCACTAAAACCTAGAACAAGGAGGCGACAAAGAGTTACGTAGGAGTTACACATTTCAGAAGCCAATCGGAAACAATCTGCAAATTCAGTTCAGTGTTCGTTGAACATCGGGGTTCTTCTGTCTTGGGTTAGAGACCGTTTTCACACAAGGTGTATTATCCAGCCTTGCTCTAACATAGCACCAAAAGGCATGACAAGAAACAATAGAAGGAAACTAATCAAGGAAAGAAGCAACCTGGAATTAAGGAGAAACTTCATAAGACTGAGTACAATCAACCAGTGGAACAGCTTGCCACTAGAAGTTGTAGGTGCTCCATCACTGGAGGCTTTTAAGAAGAGACTGGAGAGGTAGATAGATGATAGATAGATGATAGGTAGGTAGGTAGGTAGGTAGGTAGATAGATGATAGATAGATAGATAGATAGATAGATAGATAGATAGATAGATAGATAGATAGATAATAGTTAGATGGATAGATAGATAGATATGGGTGGGTGATAGAAGATACATAGATATGGATGGATGATGGATAGATGATAGAGAGAGAGATATGGATGGATGGATGGATGGATGGATGGATGGATGGATGGATGGAGGGATGATAGATAGATAGATAGATAGATAGATAGATAGATAGATAGATAGATAGATAGATAGATAGATATAGATGATAGATTGATAGATGACATGATAGATATGGATGAATGATAGATATGGATGATAGATAGATAGATAATAAATAGATGATAGATAGATATGGATGGATGATAGACAGACAGACAGACAGACATAGATAATAAATAGATGGATAGCTTGGGCTGTAGGGAAATGGAACATTACAGTGATTGGAGGTGTGTATGTATGTCAAAAGAGGGATTTGTGTTCCTGCTGGCAAATGTCTTTTCCACATTCCCGCAGAGTCGTCATCTGCCTGGTCTGGGGAACATCTGTCTCCTTCCAGAACTAGCAGATGTCAAAATAATCCTCGCGAGACCGAAATGCTTTCACAAACAAGCCCTCCTTCTACGCCTGCGATATAGTGAGCTGTAGATCACCAAAGCTTTTTTTTAAGAAAATAAGTCCCCCTCGGCTCACTGCAGAAGGAAACTTTCCATTGTTATTGTTTTGTTTTGTTTTTGTTTTTTGGGGGGAGGTGTTATATCACATTTTCCTTCCAAGAGATCACCTAAAAAGAGCCCTGTGAGATAGATTGGAGTGATTGAGAAAAGAAGCAAAGACGTTGAGCAAGTATCGAATGGTTAAGGTTGTGTTGGACATGACATTTTTCTTCTCTTTAGTCCAACACCTTAACAACAATATTACATTGTAGCCAAACATCTGTAGCTCAGGTGTAGGATGAGGGAGTGGGTTGGTTTCCAGCTGTTTCGTTACAAGGCTAGGTAACATTTTCATGTTCTGATCTAGGCTTCCTTAGCAAGCATAGCACACAGTCTCAGTCCCGAAAAAAACAACTCTTTTTTTTCAGTAGCTGTGAATTACGTTCATTCACAGCCTGCAAGGGTTGGCAAACAGTCTTTCAGGGGAATGTTGATAAACACCCACCTTATCACACTTGGAATGCGGCCAGAGAACAAACTGCCAGACGCAGAGCAAGGCCAAACTTGACACAGAGTCCAACAGAACTTTTCAAAGCTTGAACCGACCAGACGAACTAATTGCTTCCTGCAAAAGCTCACGTCCCGTTCGCTCCTCTTTTATGTCCTATGGGAGGGGCCAATCATCTCCAAGGTGGGGCCTTACTCCTGAGTCAACTCTGCTTTCTCAATTGTTCTTTTCTTTTGGTAGTCCTGCTCATGCGCAGGCTGGGAACCGGTTCTAGAAACTCCCCCGCCTCACTGCTGTCTGAACTCGAAGGCAGCTGCTGACTGCCAGCCTGCCCTGGCCCCATCTCTGCCTCTGATGCAGAGCCCTTGTCCGAGCCTTCCTCAGCCTCCAGACCCAGCCTAGGTTCCTCCCCAACCTCCTCACTACTGTCCGACTTTGCTGCCAGCTCCATCAGCCGCCAGTGGGCCACAACACTTCAGTGAAGTTTAGGGAATGTTGGTGTTATTCATCATCATTGGATACGCTACCACCTGCCACCTCGTAAATTCATCAAAGCCTGGCCCTTCACAATCCACCCCATCAACAGACACCTTGACTTACAACCAGCCTACAAAACCCTCAGAATCCAAATCAACCACACAACTAACCAGAGAGGCAACACCAACCCTCAACCAACCCACGCAACCCAACAGCAGTTCACACCTCCCCATGACCCTCACCTGATGTGACCTCATCAAATTAATAAAACTATTTAAAAAAAACTTGGCACAACCCAAACTTAACCATCACAAGACCCATTGCAAGCTTCTCACTCTGTCTACCTTCTCAATAAAGTCCAGATGTAATTAGCTTCCAATTAAGTGTAATACACCCCCTTCCCCATCTCCTTCCATCGTCCTGGGGAAGGCCAACTCCTTAGGATTTCTTAAAACGTGAATTTGGCCGGAAAGAAATCTGCTATTTTATGCTACATTGTGTTCACGTGCATGTTCATGGGCACATAAGCACATCAGTGTAAATGTCAGAGAATAATAATATTGCCACCGATCTTTAGAGCTGCCCAAGGCAAGTCTTCTCAATTCAATTCCCCATTTTTAAACCAAGTAAGATTTGCAAACGTTGGTAAAAAAAAAACCAGGCAAAAGGATCAGGAATAGGTTACTGACTATATTTATGCATTTCAGCGTTGCTGAACTTTCCCTCTTGCAGTGGGGAAAATCCTTCCCAAGCATCTTCTTAAAGGCAAATTAAATTATATTTTAATTTAAACGATCAGCTAACAAATCTATAAACCTCTTCATTTGATGTCCAAAGTTCTCTCCCCTGGAAGCACCTGCGTTCAACCATCCCATCTGCAGGAAATGTCAACAAGAAAGATTTTAAGCTTTTTAAGCAAGGAATTGATGTTATATTGCTGTCAAGATCTCATTTTTATTCCCCTTTCCTTTCCTTTTTACTTGTCCCCCTTCTGTTTGGTGTATTTTAATCACTGTAATGTACGTAGGTAGCTTCTCATCACACTTTATTACACAGGTAGGTCCTCAACGTATGACTGCAATGGAGCCCAACATTTATGTGGTTGAGACCAGTGGTGGGATTCAAATTTTTTTTTCTACCGGTTCTGTGGGCGTGGCTTGGTGGGCATGGTTAGGTGGGTGTGGCCATGTGACTGGGTGGGCATGGCTTTTTTTTTTTTTTTTTTGCAGCCACCCCCGCACTTGTTTTTTTGGGTCTTCTGGGCCTCAGAGGAGCCTCTAGGGCCATGTTGGAGAACTTATGGCACAAATGCCAGAAGTGGCACACACAGGGCCACTTCTGCCGGTATGTGAGAGCTCGCTTGGGAAGAGCCCCACTGTGTGGGGGGTCATGCACACCTGTGCAGGGGTGTGGGGGAGCCAGCACGCATTGCCTTCTGGGTGCTGGCACGCGCGAGAGTGAGCGAGCGCACAATTATCGGCACGGCAGCCAAAAAAGGTTAGCTACCACTGCCCTTGGGGGTGCAACACCCCTCCATGCTCCGTTTTGGGGCCTTCTGGGCCTCAGAAGAGCCTCTGGGGAGGGCGTTGTTGCTCTCAGAAGGCTCCTCTGGGCCTCAGGAAGGGGAATCCCGGCACAGCTGATTGTATGAACAGTTGATTGTCGGGAGGGAAAGAAAAGAAATAAGTACTTTAAGGGGCAAGCATCAGGCGGACGGGGTGAGCGAGCATTAGGTGGGCGGGGCAAGCAAGCCAGCGGCGACCAAGTCGGGGGCGTGGCCAGCCAGAACTTATTACCGGTTCGGCAACCCATGCCAAATCCTCGCTACCAGTTCACTCAAACCGGTGTGAACCGGCTAAATACCACCACTGGTTGAGACCTTTATTAAGTGAGGGTTTTGTCCCATTTTTACGACCTTCCTTGTCCCAGTTGTTTAAGTGAACCACTGCAGTCGTTAAGTTGGTCACACGGTTGTTATGTGAATCTGGCTTCCCCATGGACTTTGCTTGTCAAAAGTTGACCAGATGACCTCAGCCACTTGGCCAAGTATCTGAATGTTGTTCATGTAACCATGAAGATGCTACAACGGTTGCAAGTCTGAAAAATGGTCAGAAGTCACTTTCTTAACTGCTCTTGTAACTTAAAACAGTCACTGAATGAGCTGTTGTAAGTCAAGGATTATCCGTGTATGATATCATGGGTCGTTTCTTTATTTGTTCTATTAACTTATTTAGCTACTCAGTTCATGGTTGCAACTCTGGCTGCACACATAGGGTTAAAAAGCCAACCCCAGCCTTTCCCCCCACCCACCAAAAAAGAAAGAAAAATAGCATTTTAGTAATGAAAACCTCTTAAATCATAAGGCAGACAAACTCACAAGGCTGAGTGAAGTATTTTGATTATTGTTTAATACACTCATTCTGCCACTCGTCTCAAACACACAGCTCTGGATGCTTAACCGAGCCAAAATAAACACAATAACCAAAATTATAAATAGCATGCCAGTGGCATCATCCAGGAGCGAACAAGCATGCGCCAACTTCCATCACACACACACACACACCCCACACACACAAGCCAACATCATCAAGGTGTTACAAAATGCTTGCAGGGATCTCATAAATTCCAGGCATCAAGAATGGACAGAGTTCATTCATCATCATCATAATATCACATTTTAATAACACGAGGGAGGAAAGCTTTATAGAACTACCTACGACAGGGGATGGGGAAGAAGGGATAGGAGAAGGAAGGGAGGGACGGAGGGGGGAAGGAAGGAAGGAAGGAAGGAAGGAAGGGGAGGAAAGGAGGAAAAGAAAGGAGGAAAGGGGAAGGGGAGGGGAGGGGAGGGGAGGGAAGGAGGAGGAGGAGGGGGGAGGGAAGGGAAAGGAAAAGGAAAAAGGAAAGGAAAAGGAAAGGAAGAAAACAGAAGGGAAGGAAAAGGAAAGGAAAGGAAAGGAAAGGAAAG